GTTTTTGTCACATATCTCACACTTCGACCCAACAACAACATACAGTGTTGATTTTCAGGTGCAAATTTTATTGTGGATCATAACAAAGGTTTCACAAAAAGCACAGGAAAAAATCAGCAATAGAGTGTCTCTTAGTTACAGAGTACATAAAATATATTCTGTGAAAGCTACTAACTCTGCAGTTGAAGGCAATGCAGCTTAATTTAAACATTATTTTCAGATACACATGTTAAGAAGCAAATTTTGCAAATATTTTTTTCTCAATTAGTTTGATATTGAAATTGAGAGCCAAATATTTCAGTGATATTAACAGAAAAGAAAATCTCATTATTGTAAAAAGAAATACTCACACAGAAAATATTGTCAAAATACATAAAACTAGCCCTAGTAAATGTTAAATGACTCAAAAACTCTTTGGAAAATCTGTGGATGCTGAGGTAAGCATAAATTGGGAATTTTGGTGCTGCTATCTCCATTTTTCATGTGATACATCAGAACAAAATATTTTACTTTAAGCTAATTATAACTTTCTACAAAGGATTCCTTCAGCCTTTACTTGTACTTTAACTGTAAAGAGAAAACCCACGCTAATTCTTATAGTAAAATGGCAAAAGTCTATTAGGTAACAGTGTAGAAAATCTTGCAAGTGGTTTTCAAGGCACTGTTCTCTCTTTGGGTGCTTGGCACACACACATGCCATTCATGAAGGCTGTTTTGACAGGAAGACAAGAATAACAAAAAGTAGACCTAAAGCTAGTATCTAGTATATTAAATATCATATATATCTTTCTCTAATGAAATAAACGCCACTAGTTTTAAAAGCTATTCTGCTTTACAACACTGTGGCTTGCAGTAAGGTGTCTACTAAATTAATCTGAAACATGAATTTAAAAACATACTTTAGGAAAATAAGTAAGAACAAAGGTCAACCAAGTAGCATTTACCTCAGTCAATACAGTCTGCCTGAATGTAAACCATTCCCAAGTACTGTAACCCTCTGTAAAACAGAAAGGGCCAAATGTTTGGTTGATTTAATGCCACTGGTTTACATGTAGATATGCCAATCAGCAACTTGGTCCATAGTGAACTGAAGTAGCTTAGGACCTTATTCAGCACTCGCTGGTCCACTTGAATTCCTGAACTATGTAGCTGCAAGGGCTGCTGCCCCCCTATAACAGGAAGATACCTACTGACTAAGAAATGCAAAAAACTAGATATTCTGCAGTCAGCTCATTTAATAAGAAACTTGGTGCATCTGTACTCCATCAGAAATATAGAGCAATATAATTCTGATCTTTATGTGTGTATGTCAGGTAAAATTATGCAAAGATTCCTTCAACACCTTTTTTCTAGGGCCTGTTCTTTATGGTAACTAAATGCCAGTCAGCTGGGAAAGAAATCTGAAAGGAGTTGACCTCAAGGTATTGGGATTTTAGGTAATTATTTTGACATCTTTTTGACATACTATTAAGAATCTGTAGCTCCTCTTTGAAAAAAAACAACAGTTTTGTGCGGTTGAGAGAGCATGCCAGGATCCACCAATAGGGAAAGGATGCCCATCTCCAACCACAAAACAAATCTGGATACCATATTGCTGGATGCAATGGATGGAATAGAAGGCAGAGAAGCACAGAAAACTCTGTTCTTTTGGCAGTTTCATAATGCCCCAGCAGCAGCAATGTTTACTGTTTGTTACTCAAGGCAGGCTAATAATCTGCCAGTTTTCGGTAGACTCAGCTACCTGTGGGCCTTCATGTAACAGAGCACAACAGACAAGCACATTGGTCTGGTGGATGAGATTCAAATACCACCATGACATCTTAAGACAGTGGCTTGGATTCATACTTTAGACTTTAGAAACCTAGCCAATGCTGAGATAGCAGCCTCGAGATCAGAGGCTCCCTCTGGGACCACTAGAGAAACTGGCCTCTCCAGATGACTGTTTGTATCTTACATGGGCCAAATCCATTGATTTGGATCTATTTAATCATTTAGAGTAATTATAAATAAAACCAGGATTGACTTAAGACTTAAACAACTTCTATCTTAATACAAACAGTGAGGAAAATTCTGTGTTCAGCTGTACATCAGTATACACTGCTGTGTATCAAGAATAAAAGCATCATAGATGTCAGCAGAATTTGGCCCAACTAACTTAACGTTTCACTTCCCTAAAGGAAAGTGCTGGCCTACACTGATTGCTGAAGAGCAAACTGTCTACAGTAGTATTCTATATTTCTATAATATTCTGTATCAAAGCAATAAATATTAGATATAATCTGTATATTAGATTTCATATTTATCTGATAGCTATTTAAATCTACACTGTCAAAAATATAAGCAGTGACCCACTCCTACATGGCAGCATATAGTATTTGTGTGAATGTGTTAAAACTATCACATGGGTCTGTATTTACATAGGATATTCTTGTTTATATAGCAGATTTTACTTTACATAAATTCTTACCATAGGATAGATAATTGTGTAAAGGTTGGCTATTGTTTAAATGTTTCTATGGTTCTGCATAATTGCATTTCACATGAAGATTTCATCATTCTGTCTCATTTTTATGTTTTTTAAGGATGGAAAATGGAGTCTGACAGACTTCAAAATCTCCAATAATGTTATACCAACATAGTACAGGAATACTTATTTTCAAGTCTGGGCAAAAACCAGTTTCACTGTTCCTAACCTTTTTCCTTTACATATATAAATCTCCTCTTTAAAGAAAGTGCACTCCTGAAAACAAGGGCAATCAAAATGTTTTGGCATTGCTGAGATATAAGAGTATTTCCGCTGAGCATGATCTGCAGAAAAACCATCACACATGTATTAATTAACAATTACAATTACTACAATCTAGGTGTGCAAATGAAAAACTTACATGTGAAACATTAAAATAAGCTGAAATTGTTAGTGGTATATACATGAGAAGTTCTGTCTCAGTTTGCTCAAAAAATGCTTCATTAATTCCTATCATTTAGCTTCTCAGATTAAAGATGTACTGAAAACATGTTCATTTTCACCAAGGTCAAAATGTCCAGTTATTTACCTGTGTAAAAGGCAAATAATTGTTATTTTCTGCACCTCTAATTTCAGAAACTCAGTTAAAAATATAGAGGTAAAAAAATATTTTAATAAAGATACTTAGAATGCTTATAACAATCCCATAACAATTTCTGAGTTCAGAGAATATCCAGGCATATTCTTTTGAATTAAATATTGACTTTCCTTTGCAGAAGTTGATACTTACTTCTCAGAATAACAATTTCTGTGTCCCCCCAGCAGAAGTCAGTATCATTTTGTTATTAAACATCAGTTAGTGTTCATCAAAGACAGAACATGATTGCTTGTCTTCCCTTTATGCTAATGTTGCACTGGAAAACTCTACATGAAAAAAAAAAAAAGCCCTGGAAAACTGAAAAATATGTAATGCTTTTTATACTAAGTAACATATAGCTGTTATTGACTGTTCTTGCCAGCACTGCATTTCTTCAGATGAACAGACTCAAGAGCTGACAGATTGCTTTCCCTTTCACCTATACCAGTTCTGCCATAATTGGATGACTATTAACAAGTCTCCTTCCTGCACTAAGCAGTCCAAAGATTTCTAAACAGTCATTCAGTAATTTCTGCAGAAGGTTTTTTTCTTTACTGTGTAACGCAGGATCCCAAGAATCTGTGGTGGCTTTGAAACACTTCTTTTAGAAAGGTATCTAATACTAACATCAAGACTTCTAGCAAATGATCCATTTACTCTTCAACTTAGGCCAGTGCAGCTTTTGATGATTAGCACTCGTGTCAGGCAGTCTCTATCAGCTTCTTTATGGAAACATAACTGGTGCTTGATATCAAGCCTAAGGGAAGAATGAACTCCTATTTCTCTTTTCTGTCTTTGCTAAAGCTAAAACTAAACAGATAACAGCTTATACTTGGTTATGATTAGAAAAAAGTATGCTTTACAGCCATGTAAAATGACCAAGAACCTTACACTGTAATGGACTCTTTAAAGATGGGAGTAGTTTTGGCCTAAAAGCAGCACTTTTGTATCTGAAAGGCTACAGGAATGTTTCTGGAAAATAAATCTTATTTTTTGTTTTGGACATTATGCATCAAAATACATTCATTCATTCATAAAATCAACCAAAGGGACAGATTCTAAATCCTATTTAGCAATAAATCTATACTTGCAACGTGGTAATCCTGTGTTTAAAGTACTAAAAGAAAAACAAGCCATTCTTTTACTTTCTAATACTACGTAATAATACAAATATTATAGGGAAACTGTATTATACAGGTGTGTTTCCCTGAAATGTGTACTTTGCAAAAAAGATCTCTTCCTCAAACAAAACCAAGTGAGAAGCTGCAAAGTGTGTTTATGCAGAATGCTCGATAACACATATTTAAAGCAGAGTATCACATTATACTAAGTCTGACGGAATGAGTAGCCACTTCAGTTTGTACCCATAAAATTCAAGCCTAACAGCACTGGAAATATAAATTAATCAGGTTAAGTGCTTGAGAAAGTCTCTTCTTTTTAGCTGTGAAGTGAACAAGAGTATGTAACTGTTTCTCCCTATGCACATTGCTCATAATTAGAATGCAACCAAATCCCCAAATTAGAAAAGATATATGTAAAAGTATTAAAATACTCAGTACTGAATCTTCCTATGATTGGCTTCAAAGGCTGATTTGAATTAAAGTTACTAAATCTTTTTTTCATTCTTGCTTCACCTACTAAAAAACAGTGTGAAGACACATTAGAGACATTAATTTTCCCAGAATATACTCAAATACCTTCCTCCAAACCTTTTTCTTCATAATTTATATTAGTTTTAAATCTACTATGAAAATAGTAGTGCAAGAACAATCAATTAAAAAATCTTCAGCTAAATGGTTTAGTTCCTTTTAGGATAAAGATGCAGAGGAATACCAATGAAAAATACGCTAGTTACGATTCTTTCTTTGTTAACACTCCTTTACACCCCAAAAAAATTCATCACTCCACGTTCCTGTATTTGGTAAACAAATTGTACAGTACTCTCAGTGTAGACTTCAAGTCACAATTTACAATATCTAGAAAAAAAGACAAGGGAAAAAAACATTAGTAACTTCATTAGCTCAAAACATTTTCAGAAAAAACTGCCTATTCTCTACCTCCTTTGCTTGTTCAGATCCATATCCATGAACATTCCAATCACAAAGATAGTAACAAAGAGTAGAAATATAAATAAAGCACAGTTTTTAAACTGGGAACTCAAAAAATCGTTATTTCAGCCACTTTTATTTAGGGATACAAATGGCTAATGGTGCTGATGAAGAAATGCAACCAAGGTTTAGATGCCCACAAGACAAATTGTGCCTAGGATTACATATATTTATATGACTGAATCTTCAGTCGGTTGTGGCTGAAAAGTAACGATTTGGAAAAAAACAGCAGGCAGAAACCAATGGAACTCAACTCTTACATAAGAATTGCAGGACTTGGCCCATTCTGGGCTGCAGCATCCTTTATTAGGCCTAATTTCAGCAAGATAGATAGAGGAAAATTTAAATTTTCTAAAGGATCTGAAGAAGCTAGGTATACAAATGCCCCTCAAAGACACTTCAGAAAACGCTTTGGGTTAGCTGATGTACATGGCTGAATCAGTCCTTAGAAACTCAACGTCTAAAGTAAAGGATTTATAGGAAACAAAAAGCTAATGAATACCTGCTGTTTCCAGGAGAAGTTGTTGAGAAAGTCAATATTATTTCACAAGTAATCTATAAAACAAACTGACAAGTACTACTGCAGCAGTCTACGCTAGTGCTTCAAGGAATATTCAATCTCAAATAGGGACTCAGAATTACCCTCAAAAAGAATAGAAAATAATTAGAATAGAATAGAATTAGAACAGAATTAGAATAGTTGTATCTTTTTCTGTTGACTGCACAGGAACTCAAGCTCCTAACTTTGGTTCTTGGAATTGGCCATGGAGGTGTATAGCAGGTGGTGTGCATGCTCCCATTACCTTCAAAACCTCCAAGTAAGCCTAAACTGTGTATGTAATCATCAGATATTTTTGCCATTATATTTATCTACAGTGACGTTTCTCACAGATTCTGAAGGGTTTATACTTTGAAGAATGAATCCAATCAAACCTATGCATGGTGTCCCACAGTATGCAAACGTTGAAGGGCTAAAGATAATATCTACATGGCAAACTGACATCCATGGACAAAGGGTGAAAACAACCAAACCTAGATTTTACACTGAGACTATGCACGGTCATGAAACCACGGCCACATGGTTTTGTGGCTTTTAATAAATGAGATAAAAAATGCTTGGTATAAAATGAAAATGCCAAAAGCTACACGAAGGGCACATTGCTCCCACAACATCATGTTATATGCAAACAGTATTGCAGAGTATAACTTGGGAAGCTTCCTCTTTTAGGCCAGTAGCAAGCTGTAACACCTTCATTTCCTGTAACAGAGCTTCAAACGAATAAAGAGATAACTTTGACAGGTCTTTGCAAAGTTACCAGAAGACTCCATCACCACAACAGAATTCCACAGAAACTAAAAAGAAGCATGCTCCCAGAGAAAAATGAGTTATTTCCATTGTTACACGTTTGACCAACACGTATAACTTTTTACTGGTTGCAATTTTCAAAAAGAGAAACTTGAGTTTGGCTTTGATGTACACATTTCAAGTAATCTGAAAAAGCTCAAACTGCAAATGAATTCATTACAGACTCAGTAGATTAATGTTCTGGCCATTTTTAAAATAAAAGGTCACAGAAAGCTTTTTAATACCTTTTCAATTATATTGCAAATAACCCAAATAAACTGTTGACCCCATAAAAATCATTGGTTTTCATACTCATTTATTTAACCACATTCTTTTTTCCACTAAATATGTTTTTCATATTCTAAAGCACTTTTCAGCATATTTTTTCCTCAAGAACCTCAAAGAAACAGTGTAGGAATTTAAAGAGTATTTAGTATACACATTTAGGGTAAGATCCTTTTCAATAGTCTTTTGCTCACTGGAAATTTTAAATATGGGCATTGTGCCCAATGTAACAACACATAAAACAGATGTGTTTTTCCATTCACATTGGGCAGGAAGTTTCATATTAAGCATTTCAATAATTGCACAAGAAATGTCTTATATATGCTGAAATATCCTTATGGCTTGATTTATACTGGAAAAATTAGCTGTGCCCTAGAGCAATAAATACCTGAAAAATTAAATGCCATAAGAATTTTAAACCTCCATGGGGAGTAAGGGATCACAGATACTCTCTGTTTTACTTGGATCCCTAGATTTCACTATTTCCCCCTTCTCTCTCTGACTATTTCAAACATAAAAGTTTGTGATATAGTCACCACTGGTTTAGTTAAGCACGATTGTGAATAAGAGTTCAAGCAATCAAAAGAAGGAAAACAAAAATAGGCTGGGTAAATCCAGATTAAATGCATAGGCAGCGTAGGCTCAATCCTGAGACATTTTTTTGTGTGTCTGCTGCTGTTACGATCTGGAAGTTGGGAAGGATGGAAAATAAGCAGAATGGAGCAGAACTTGATTCAGAGATGTGTGCCTGAATCTCCAGAGAGTCCTTACTATTAGAAATAAAACTCTGAGCATCAGCTTAGATCAGCTCCTCAGGGAATGACAATCCAATATTACATCAGGAAAAGACTGTGTGCACCATAGAATGTGAATTGGCAATGGGTCTTGAAAACACATATATATTGATTATTATGGTAGGTAACCAGCAGAAGCCCAGCTACCACTCCTGTTGGGAAGAGTAGAGCAGAAGCTGCACGTCTGTGGTAAGAAGTGGTAACTTCTCATGGGAGGAGCCACAAGAGTACCCTATAACATGGTGAATCATGGGCCCTATATCCAGCATGAAAAGCTAGATTTAAACCCTGTATTTATATGAGCAAAGAGGAGCGGAATCCTGGTCCTGCTAAAGTCAGCAGCAAAACCTTCATCTTCCCTGAAGACACATTGTACTTTCAGTCTCCAGCTCTAAATCTAATTTAAATATGCATGATTAGGTCCTGCACTCAAAGGCAGTTATGTGAACATTTGAAATTCTTCTCCACAACACCTACTTCTTTTGTGAAAAGCTTGTAAATTACACTGGAATACTTGAGGTTTAGTATGAAGATGTGGGATTAGGGAAAATGGAGCAATTGGAGCAGTTCGTATCTGCCAGTTGCACCATTCACAATTGCATTCTTTTTCTTTCAATGAATATCTGAGTATTACTGCATATGTTTGGTCACGCAAATCTTAGGCTGGCCACTCAAGAAAGGAAGCCTTGCAACATTTGAAAAAGCATATCTATCAGCCATTTAAAATACAGAGTTACCAGAGCACTTCAAAATGTATCTTGCCTTTTGCTCTTGGATTAATGTTTTAACCTTCATTTAGCTATACCGTCATCCTATGAGATAAGATCTGGATCCAATGCACATTTTTAAGAAGATACAAAAAAAGTACAACAGATACCTTCTGGTCTTGGCTTTGGTTTTTCCAATCCACCATCCTGCATTAGCTCAAATGCAAAAGATACATTGAGGACCTAGCAATATAATAAAGGCAGTCATTATTGTGAACTATATACAGCATAGTATAAATGGTCAAAACAAGATGTATTTAAAGCTCCAGATCCAGATCCTCAGAAGTTAAAAATAGTCAGGGCTCTGTAAATCAATGGAAGATATGGTCCATGGAATCCAGACAATCCACTGTTTTGTTTTTTTCTGGGTGGTGATGGTGGTTTCAGAAATACAAAAGTAATTAAAAAATAACATGTGAACTAATATTACCCATAGAAAAATTACTTACAAGTAAGAATAGCCCACCTCCCGCAAGTTTAAAAATTGGAACATGATGGCCCATGAAGTGCTCTTGTCTTCAATAGACAGCTGAATTGCCTGGATAGCAACAGACACTGGGATAATGGTTGGTCTTAAAATGATACATAGTACATACATGCCTTTATGCTTCCAAAAAACATGAAACCTTTCAAACATTACATTCTTGGATTGTGGACACAAAAAATGAGTTCTGTCATCAATTCATGTGTATAATTCGTTATACACTTAATGAACAGTAAGTCTGGTTCAATGACAGCATCACACAATGGCTGCCAAAATCAGTTAATACTTGCTAGCCACCCCATCATTAATATAATTTTCCCTTTTATTCCAGATAAGCATTAATATTGAGATCTTAAAAATGCTTGGAAATGGTTACCAGTACAGTCCTCTCTTGATTTCAGCTATTTACACCAAACTTATGCGGAAAAGTTTGTGTCATCCTTGTACCACTAGACTTGTTTATATGTTTATTTGTCTTTAACAGAAAAATGAAATCTAATTACCTTTTGCTCAAAACTATCCGGAGTCAAGAAAAAGCTGTGCAGAGGAACAAAATAGCCTTCTAGGAGACCCATTAGCAGGACTAAGTACACACCATCTGCAAACTGTAAAAAAGACTTTTCTCAGTACATTTTCTGAAGAATAACTCACTGCTTTGCTTAATGAACAAGATATCTATTGTCTAACACAGAACTGTCAACAAACTACTAACATACATAGTTTAAATCACAACTAAAAGATCTCATCTCACTTCTTTGATTCCTTTATTTAGTTAGTACATTCTGTTACGTCTTCTCCAAAACTGACCTAATGCTAAAATATACATGCAGAATAAAGTTCCTGGAAAGAGCAGTCATCAGTGGCTTTGATCTATGCCTTTGCTTTCTATTCTACTAGTTGTGGGGAATCAGAACAGCCACCTTTCAAGCTCTCAAATGGCATGCATACCCTGAGCAGAGAAAAGCAGAATGAAGGTGCAATCTCATGACTGCACTGAAATTCAGTATATTGCAGGAAATAAAGGAACAAAGAATCATCTTTGTGTTCTGCAAGTCTGAATCAATCTAATTTTAAGTGTATGTAATTACAAATGGAAGATATCTAATTGCTATGATATATGTTCATTCTTATCCAAAAAAATAGCAACATCCATAAGATTTTGTTAAAGGCCTCTCACTCTTACCCCTGTGACATCAGGTCTATCAGTGCACTGAGATCTCCTCACAATCAAACTGATTTATCTGAAGCAACCCATCCCCTTCCTAAAGTAGATAATTTTCATTCAACTGACAGAAATACAATCTCTCATCTTAGGGAATACTGTTTTGGATAAGTGCTTAAGGGGTTTCTAGGTACCTCTAAATAATACATTTTTTCCAAAAGTAAACAATGCAATAAGCAGACATAGGGAACATCCTTTTGAAAGCCCTTACACATTATTTCCATCTGAATCTTAATTTTACCTTTGAAAAATCTCTGTCAGATTGATAGCTATTTAAATAAACGAGAGGTTCTTAATAACATGAATCAAGACATAAAATAAAGCCTGTCCTGAAGAGACCTGGGTTTTTCTGATAGTGCAGATACCATCCTTCCTGCCTGACCTTGTAATTTTCTTATGATAACTGCTGCAATTGTTCACATGGGGAGGTATTAATACAGCAGGACTAAGCTTTTCTTTTAGCTTCTTTCCAGCCAATTTAGCAGCTGAGAACAATAAAGAAGACCATGTACCACATTATTTCTGTGGTGCAATCAAGCCTGCAGCCCAACCGTACAGCTGCCTACACACTTGAGTAGCTTTACTCTCAGGAACGTACTGAATAGTCTCATTGTTATCCCATGCGACTGCATGTGTGTGTAAAGGTACGCAGGAAACAACTGTTCAGCTTGACGCTGGATCAAGCCAAGCGGACAGAGTTTGTTCCTGACCAAAACAAGCACAGGTCCTGCTTACAGCACTTGGCAGCGCCCAAGAGGTAGCATCTGTTAATTAATTTTTATGCTAATGGCAGTACAAAACTGTTTTAGAGGAATTTAGCTGTCCTCACAATTTCTCTGCTTAATTGGCGAGGGCCTTCTTCATACGAACATATTTAGAATTGAAGTGTTTCCCGCTGAAATAACATCTTAGAGCTCAATCAATAATAATTCAATGAAATTTCTGGATGAAGTTGGGGGCATAGTGCATAACATAGTGCAACTACCTCTCCCCTTTAAGAAAGGCTGTAAAATCCTACCTGGGTCTCCAATTCAGTGACCTCCAAATTCAATTTATTGAGATGCTTGTTCACAAAGGTGATGAGAGTCTGAAATACGAAAAAAATGTAGTGAAGGCCTATTCAGTAGGGCAGCAGTTCAACACATGCAGCATGAACTCCACTCAGAAGAGAATCTGCATGAGTGAAGAGACTGCAACACAACTTAAGTTTTAAAACTGAAATGTGACATTAAAAAAAAAAAAAAATCCTTTTTTTCCAAGAATGAAGAACAGAAATAAAATGAACGTGATGTAAATAAATAAAAATACACTGTTAAATCATAATAATTCTTTAAAAAAACCCTTGTCGCAGACTATAGGGAAGTTGGTAACTGGACTCCACTCAAATCTGACAGCAGCCAAAATACTCTAGGTCAGGCCCCTGGCAGTTGTAAACTGGATACCTCTGGCATCAGTACACTCAATCTACCAGTTGGGTTCTACTCAACATACACTTTGTGAGAACTTCTTTTTGATGAAAACTTTGATAACTACATGTTGTTCTGTGTTCCAAAGTTAAGTTCACACTGCTAAATATTAATAAAAAGTAACATTACAATCATGATTTTGTATATTTGTTTAAGCATAAAGCTTAATTGTATTTAATGTATGCAAACTATGCCAATTATATATATTATACACACACACACTCACTACGTATGTACAAACAGATACACACAAGCATGCACACATTATATATTTCAAAAATAAAAACCTTCCAACCTTTTTCACTACATTGAGCTTGTCTGGAGCATGGTCAAATAAAGTATCAAATGCATCTCTTTCTGAAAAACATTCAGAGATGTTAATATACTGAGCAGCAGTTGTCCAAATGCAGAATAAACACTTACTAAGGCACACACTCATTTAAGACAACAGAGTCAGCAAAAGGTTTCAATATAGTCTCTTTGTATTCCAAGCACTATGTATTTTGCATACTGCTCTCTTGCAATAAGCTGCTAGTAGCTTATTCTCTATTATTTACAAAAAGCATATTTTCAAGTAGGATTTGGATTACCTAATAACCCTGTTTCTCAAAAATGAACAAAGAATGGTATCTTTATGCATAAAACCTTAAACAGCCAGATACAGGGAGCTAAGTAACCAAATCATTGTGTGCAGAAGAACATGAGTTTACATCTAGAGTCGCTACATCTACAGAGGAAGACTCTCCCCATGGGTCACTGACTGCATTGCGGTGTGCATTATTAACCACGTGAAGAAAGTTTATGATTACACAGCTGCAATACAATCTTCGTATAGATGTTTTTGGGCCATTCTGATATGCAATTTAGGACATTATCAGCAAGACAGACAACCTAGCATACCATGACTGGAGTGCTACTGTAGTCACCTTCTGAAGAAAAAAGGGTGGGGGGAGTAAGACTGCTCAGGAATATCATTGGGGAAAGAGGACATGCATGTAGCCTTTTAAATCAGCTGTAAGGCAGCCATTGAAATAGTACAAGAAGCAAATGCTAAATTCTTGGTGGGACTCCACCTAAGCTCCTCAGATGAGTGTTTTCTGTTGGCCCGGCATTTGGCCAGTCTCAATACTAGCAGTAAGACTTACTAGGCACAGGAACATGCATGGTGTTTAGGCCTGCTGAATAATAACCCAATGTCATTAAAGTGTAAGTAGGTAATGTATGCATGAATGCCAACGAGTTCACCAGCTGGTTTATGATAAGACATAATTTCATATTATGGTGGGAACTTATGACCATTAATACTATTACAGTAATGTTCTGGAGGTTAAACCACAAAGCACCTGCAAATTAACATGTGCTGAAAAGCAATGAAATGTGTTTTAAAGATGGTCAGACTGACTTTAATGCTTTTTTCCTTTTGTTAACTGCCACAATAGCCTGTGGTGCATATATTTATATATTTGCCAGGGCAACATGAAATCCTCTACTTCCTTGCAGTTTGATCAAGATGACCACCCATTGTAGAACTAATGTATACTTTGGCTGTCTCAAGAAAAAGATAATGATCAGATGAACTTACCATGCCTTCCTGATAATGCCCTATGAAGAAAAACAAAACAAAACACAGTTATATATAATCCACTTGCAGACATTGTGTGCTGCAAAAAAAAACAGCATATGTGGCCAGATCTTCAGCTTGATGAAAACTGGAGTAGATCCATGGAATTAAGAAAACCTTCACCAAGTTACTCCAACTGAGAATCTGGATTAGTCTAGAGTCCATCAGTATAATATCTCCTGGCTTCACTAAAGTCTCATGGGAGGCCAGATCTCAGATTTCTTACTACTGAAGCAAATTGACACACCTTGCCTGAGTGAAATAGGCTTTTTCATGTTGACTTTGTGAAAACTTTTCTCTTTGCTTTAAAGATGCATTTACCACACCAACTACAATACAATTCCAGCCAACTTGGACTGGGTTCTTAAGGACTGCAGCATTTTGCTCCAGTTGATCCCTTATATAACTATTACATGTAAACAAATACATAAAGATTAATAATAAGTCAATAGTCTGGCTTCTCTCCATTCTGTTAGAAACTAGGATATTCTACTATTGCTTTCTGTTGGTTTGGAATAACTTTTCTGTTAGAAATTGTTTGGTGAGATGACACGTACAGGGCTTACTACCATCATATTACATGCTCAAAGCCCAGATACCTAAAAATAGCCTTATCACATTCCTTTTTGAAAGAATCTAGTTCTCTATCAAATAAATACCAACATAAAAGAATGAGGCATATCTTTCTTGTTTGCTTGAAGGACTTTTGAATAAAATAATAAGAAATATAGTAAGTACAGAAATAAATTAATAGTAGATAAATATAAAATAGAGATTTTGTATATCTTCACTCTGTCTTCTCTTTTATCCTGGTCTCCTGCTTTTAGTTCCCCAGCTCTGTATTTCATCGCCCTTTTGTATTTTTAGATGCATGTTTGCAGCTCTTGAAAAGGCTAAAATACAGTCACTGGCTGATGCATCATCTTCGCTGGAACCCCAATACCGAAATCTAAATATCAGCAAATGTTTGAATTTCTGAGATGCATCTGTGTTCAATTACTGAACTGCTGGCAAAAGTGGTGTTGACATACTCAGTGTTACCAGTTATTTCCTCTTGGATTTGTCGAGACTGAAGGATTCCTTCTCGTTTCTGGAAAAAATAAAAAAGTGACATTTTTCTCAGTAAAGTTTAATGCTCAGGGTACAGTAAAAATTTGTGATCCACAAACACAGTAGATAAGAGAACTGCAAAATAAGACCTTTTTTTAAACAAACTTACAGTAATATATTATTTCAGCTTACAAGTATTCCAGAAAACCCTTTTGTACACTAACAAGAAATTTGAAACTCCACCTGTAGAAGGAAGTATTTCTTTTCCATTCTCCATTGTTCTTAACTCACTTTTCTTTTAAAGGCCCCAATTCAGCAAGACATTTGAAACACCTAAACCCATATGTAAGTATTTTAGTAGAGGTATGTCTAGGTGAGTTGAATTAAACCTTGTATTTCAATGAACAGCTTGGCAGATGGTGCCCATGATTCTCTTTTGCAAACATCTTGCTCCCAGGCTATCTGTTCTTTCTGCCCTGTTCACACACTTTCTTTTTTGCCTCAGTGTTTTCCTTTTCTGACTTGTCTCCACACAAAGAGCTCTATTTGCTTGTGATGGAAAACCAAAATGGAGGCTAATCCATTCACAGCCTGCTCCAGACCCTAGTCATCTTGGTGTTAATATATGCATTGACTCCAATGTTCCTCAGATGTGACAAGCCCTTTGTACATGGTGGTGAGTGACCTGTGTCTATAAGCTGTACACAAAATGGCAGAAGCCAACTCAAATAGTTGCTATTTGAGTCAGGTGGAAAATGAAGGAGTTTAGAAATTTAACGTTGTTTCCAGGATGCTGATCACAGTCATCTGGTGGCGGTGTAAGTACCGCACATATGTTTTGCCTCTCTTTGTGTTCTCTCTGTTAATTCTATTCACTGGAATTAGTAAAATTTTGCAATACAGAAAGAAAAGTCAGACAAATGCTGACGACTGCATGTAAAGTCTAGACATTAGGCAATTATTCATGATTCTTCACTCCCTGTCATACAAGGAAATGAGAAAAATAAATTTATGCTGGTCCTAGACTTGCTTTCTACGTGGAAAAGAGAAAAGGAGAATAACCTTTTGGAAAAGTCCTTCATGCCATGTCCACTGGGGCTGCTGCTCTTCCCTGCCTTGGAGAAGACAGCACATGCCCACCTGAGGCAGTCCTCGGTGTATGATGTGCTGAGGATTCGGCCAGGCTTGAGCCTATTACGTCTATATTGCATTACTAAAATATGTGAGGATCAAACTTACTTTCTGCAAGAAAGCCATACATGGCACCCTCTGGGTCATTCCAGACTGGCACTTGGAGTAATCTGAACTGTCCTTTTAGGTAGATGATAGTTTCAGGTGTTTTCCATGATGTTTTTTAAAGCCCTGTTACTAAATATCTTGCACATGGTTAAAAATGCATTCACAGAGGACCTTTGAACATTAAAGAGACAGAGTGGAGTCCAGTGTGTTACACACTGAAAGAGAGGGCACAGAAGAGCTGCTGAGACATCTTCTGTTACATATCTTGAAAGTCTGAAGTAAAACTACATTGTTTAGGGCTATCTTCATTTCCAGCTTGTGCAGACAGCAATAAGTACTTGCACTTGAAGTTACAATCTAATTCATGCTAGCTGAAGTTAGAATTCCAGTCTGCTTGGGATTTTTGTTTATTTTTCCCTTTGCTGCAGGGTGAAAGGAAACTTTTTTTTCTTCCTGATGATGACTCTGACATGCCAATGATGCCTTCTGGAGCAAAAGCTCTATCACTCTTGTCTCCTAGAGGAGTTGAGCATCATAGCAACGGCAACTGTACTTCTCAGTGCCCAGTCCAGTGACATGGGAAAATAAAAAGGCTTCTAAATTCTACCTTCCCTCTGCAAACATGTAAAAATAGCCTGAAACACACTCCAGTACTGATATAAAACATATTGCCCTTTTTGATAAACTGCAATTAATATCAATAGAAATTCTGCACCTTAATCCTACTGTTGACCAAAAAAAACCAAATCATCAAGCCCTAGTTTTCTGCCTGGCATCTGATCACTAACATTAATGGAATTTCCACACTTCCCAAATACGACTGAACACCTATTTGACCAGCACATGTCAAGACAGATTTTCCTATGCTTTTCATTTGTAAAAAGACTAGCAAAAGTCCCAATGGCAACAATCAGAATGGACCTTAGAAACACTAGTTTAAGCACCTTCTCTGTGAAGGCTGTTTCCCATACACCTTTTGCACTTTAAAAACTCTTCACCTCAAAATTGACCCTAACACTGATGTCACCTGTTGTGAAGTTTGTTTTATACTAGACAGAGAATGACACAGTATTCCCAAAAATACAAAGAAGTGCTACTGAGGACTGAAAGACTATCCAGCAATATTCCTTAAAGACAACAGTGGCTATAACTGGAATAACAAATGATAAAAATCTGCTATTTCACACTGAAAAAATGAGGCATGAATTAAGGTTCCCCATTAAAAACAAAAGCTGGACATTCCAGCGATGCACATTATTTGGACACGCTTGACATCTTCTTCCCTCACAGCTGAAAGACTCCACCAAAGGCCATGAAAGATCTTCATAATCACTTATCATTTTAAATTGGCGACTAACCCTAGAACAAAAAAATACATCTGAAATTTGGGTAATATGTCTGGAAATGGAAAGGGTGTCTCTTCCTCATGTCTCTTCACATCAGCTCTATGTCAGCAGTTTTATATAACTGAGGGCCAACTGCTTAATTTCCCACACAAAGTCCCATTCTGAAAACCTTCCCACTATTTGAATGGGTTTTGCCTATGTATTGTTGCTATCCATTGCATCTGGAGGATCATGTTTTATGATTGCCCCACAAAGATGAAATGCAGAACTATTCTGGAGCTTGAAAGGACAAATACATTTGTCACAGCTTCAGAAAAAGACTTGTTAGGAACCTGGACACAATGCTGGTCGGAAACATTTCAGACCTTCCCAGTGCGTTCAGAGAGGCTGCGGGACCAATGATCTTGGATTAAGCTTGTGATGTACACCTTCTTCTTATCTCATTAATTTCCTTGCTTTGCTTAGCGGTAGTTTGTGCACCCAAGAATTCCTGTCCCAGTGCTCAGAACATGCTGAAACCATTCTGGCTGCTCTGCCAATGCATTCTTATACTCTCTGACTTACAGCTCTTGCACACAAACAATCTGTCATTTAACCGTTTGTGGATGACATAAATAAATAATTTTTAAGAAGAGGCAAAATGATGGCAAGATCCAGCTCTCCACAAAAGCTCTCACTTGTTTCAGTAGAAATAATCAAACAAAGCCTGGGCTTTGTTCAAAGTTATTAATTCTATTAGTATGGAAGGAAAATAAAATAATATAACAAAATAGCTACAAAAGGTCCACCTATCACATTTTTCCCCAAATCAGCTTATAACCCAGATTTCATATTACTCTCATTGCTAACCACTTTTGTACAAAACAGCCAAATGAAACAAGCTTTCATAAGAACTGTGCTGATTACCTGTTGGGCGTGAGCGCATTTTTTGTTTTAGAAATATCTTTGCTTCTATTTCAATAAACTACACAGAGCTAACACGGCAACCCTCACATTTTATGTGTTTCTAAACCTAACAAAATCATGAAATTAATTAGGGTAGTCTTCCTTAAAGACTTCATAAAAGTACTTTGTTCTTTTATTTCTCTCTCTATACTATTCCATTTATCAAACTGTATAGAGTAAAATTTAAGATCAGCTACCACAGTCTGTTGAGTTTCCCTAGGCATGACCTTACTTTACAGAAGGTACGAGGGTTTAGAACATGAGGCGTGCAAGTTTGAACACTAAATTAGGCTTTAAGATCTGCTGATTGTTGATTAAAACTTTCATTGAGTTCAAAGGGTACGTGATGAATTATATAGAACCAATCCCACAGGACATGAAAGACAGATTTAAAAAATAAAAATAAAACCCCCACCCACCATAAAATAAAAATGAAAAATGTCTCAAACACAATTACAGTAAGAATAGTGGCCCCCACCCTATTTTAATAGGAATCAGTGTAGCCTTGGAGTTCCACTGACTGGATTTCACCATGAACTGGGTTTGCAGGGCAAAATCTTCTGCAACATTACTTGGATTTTATTCCGGTGCAGCTGATTTCTCTGCAATTCACTGGTACCTGAGCTACAGCTGGGTAGCTAATAGGCAAAGCAGTGAGCCAGATTCTCCCACTGCTTACTGTTTTTAAATTGGTTTCTCTCTACTGACTTCAGTGGATTTGCTGTTCAACTACATTAGCCTATTAAACAAGAGGACAATTACGTCCATTGATTTCAACAGGAATTTTGTCTGGATGTATGGAGTGACAGCAGAATGCAAGATCTGGTTCATTATTTTAGGACTGTGGGTTTTTTCTGGTTTAGTTTCTCATCCCAAAGATGCCCTGACCGCTGCACTCCTGATTTCTTAAGCTGGTTTTGGTAGAACCTTGAGATAAACTAGTGCAATTAATTTGACAACAGTCAAAGGAAAGTGCTTGAAAATTATGTTCCTCTGAAGCCTTAGACACATAAGTACAGATTTGCTGGGGTTCTCTTTCATCGTCTGTAGAGAAACCCACAAAGCAGAATCTGAGAGTCAATGAGTCATTATCAGGTGTCAGTGATACATCTACTGGAGACTCGCCTTCAGATTTCTCCCCAAATTACAAAACTTGTCTGACTTGAATGCTGGAAAAAGGAGTGGTTACTTTCTCAGATCTGTCCCACAGATTTTCAGTCACACAAAACTTGAGCAATAGCTCTTTGTACCATGTACTTCAGGGTAACATCAGTTAAAACACATAAATAAAGACAGTTACAGTGTGAAAAATAAAGGCAAAGTTAATTGGAGAGAAAGAAAAGCAGCTTAAATGGGAAGAGGCCAAATAAGATAGAGCAAGCACAAGTCCAACTGAAAGAAAAATGCTGAACAGAATAACATGAAGAGTTTGGATGGATGAGGCTCTAATAAGGAGACCGACTGACACAAAAGATTTAGTTGATGGGGTTTTTTTGCATGCTTATGAGAAAGCCAACACTGTAATCAGACTAAATTAGCATGCACAAGGCTGAAAAAGAATATTTAGTCACCTAACATGAATCAGAATGTAATAAACAGTGACAATTCATCATTCAGTGCCAAGAATGATTTGAATCTCTACACAAGTGAGAAGACCGTCAAAAATGGGAAAAATAATAATTCTAGAGATCATATTGGGTGATAAACAAACACATTCCAACAATAATAATGCTTCATATATTTTTAATGTCAGAGTCTGGCCACTTCACAATCAAAATAAGATATTCTGAGCCACAGCTCAATCTGGGAAAGCACTTCTGCCTTTTTCTGGTTGAAGCATTGTCAGCAGGGAAGACGCACGTGTGTTTCTTGTCAGCCAAAGAGACACGCATGCCCGCCCAAACAGAAACTCTCCATGGATTTTTCAAGAAACCCCTCAGTCAATTTCACAACACTATCCAGAGCTGTTTAACACCTCTCTTACCTGCACAACAACCACCTGAATGGACACATGATCTGGGAGTCTGATTGGTGCTCGAAAATATTGTGATAATGCAACCAGAAGATGAAGTATTGCTACGAGACTTTTAGCATGAACAGCTGAAATAGATATTAAAAGCACAAGTCACAAACTGCAAAGTAACTAGAACTAGGACACATATTTTTACTTTTTAGGATGTAGGGATTATGGGATTCTTTTCCTCTTGCCACCTTGGAGCCAGGAGGCACTTTTAAGGCACCTCTCCTTTACTGGTCTCCTCCTGCTTAACAGGTCACCCGAATGCAGCCCAGTCAGTAACATGCGTCAGCACCAAAGCGTTACTTTTTGCAACATGTCTGGATGCTATAGGCTGCGTAGATGGAAATCTAAAGCTAATCCAAAAGCCAGATTTCATGTACAGCAGTTTAAGTGCTGTCTCTGCATTCTCCTTGCCTTTCCTTTATTCCCTTTATTTCAATAAGAATTTATGGGCTATCAGAAAGATATTTTTGTACTCATAACATGCACTTATTCATTTTTAAGTGTCACAATGTCTGCAGGATGATAAATGAGCCTATTTTGGCAGAAGCCTTAAGCAATAACTTACTAAACTCAATGACTCAAACATTCCTCATGAAGTTGTTATAGTTCTTGTTATTGAAGCTTTCTCACAGCAGGTTTCATATGGGTAGTTAACACTAACACAACTTACAAGATATCAAAAGCCATACTGTAGGAAATCCGTAATCAAGTATCAAACCATTGGCATGAAAGTGAATCATTTCGAATTCTTATGATTGCCCTTCTTCTTCTTCTGTTTTATTTTTGCATTTATAGTCTTCCCCAGAGTAGTATTCCTAAACGACCTTTGATAGCTACAGTACAGTGCGCTTATGTTCTTTGTACTTGAACTAACCAACAACTACTACCTCACTTCACTGGTAAAGCAGGGTCAGATTCACTAAAATATCCTTCTGCATCATCTTCCAATGCAAGTCTCAACTCTGCCATGGAGAAACTCACTCATGTAAAATGTGGCATTGCTGTCAAATTTGGCTGGGGTGCCAGTGCTCACAGATGAGGTGCTGTACCAGAACACTAAAAAGATGTCTGTCTGCCTAGCACTGGTGTGTGCTACAGCTGGCTCCAGCTCCTGCCGTCTATCTCTACTTTACCTCTAAAACACATGTAAAACATTAAGTTAAAACTAGAATTTAAATTGTCAGGCCACTCCAAACACCCTGCCTCCAGCTGCATAACACCGAATGGAAAAAAACCTGGGGGGAGGTTGAAGAGAGATGGGGACAGAAAACTCAGTGGGACCACATGAAGGGGAAAGTCAGAGATGCCTAATGTTCACTCTTCCTTCCTCGAGCTATTTCTCTCCCTCTCACTAATTTGTTGTGAATGGAATGGGATACAAACCAGCTCAGCTCAAGACAGGTACAGGAGACAGGGAAACTGTTATATACTGATCACCAGTGTGAAATGATTCTGCATACCAAACTTAAAACAGATTAAGAGGCCTGATTTTCTAAAACTGCTGATAACCTGCTTTCTGCAACACATATGCACTAGAATGTCTTGTGTTGGGCCACTGAGGGCATTTCTATTAGATATTATTATGTTCACTTTTAACATAATAAAACAGGAAGGGTGCAGTCCTAATCTTGGTGAGAGTTTTGTAATCAAAAGCAGTGGTTCAGATTTAGCCTTAAACAATCAGAAATATTATTGATATCTACATTGCAAATTTTACACAAACAAAGAGTCCTAGGACCTATCTACTACATTTATGCAGGTACTTGCCCGTTTCAGCACACCAGTTTAATAACAGAAAACCTAAGCTGGTACGCATATGGACTTAAGAGCAGAAATACCATACTTTGAGAAACTCTGAAAAGACAGTTTATTTAAATAGAAGGTTGAGCATCAGTAAAGAGGGTAGAGTGTACCACATCTGGAAATGCCCTGCAGAGCAGCTCATACCATAAATACCAGGCTTCAGCCTTCCCTTATCATTGGATATTTCAGAATTCCAGACAGCAGCTATAAACTCTCAGCTGTCAACAAATGAGAACAGCATAGAAAACACACAACTTACAGTCAACGTTCCACTTAATGCTTCTTGGAGGGAGTTTAAGGGTTTCATTGATCTTTTCAAGTACTGTCTGTAGCTTCTGTTTCTGAGCAATTTCAGACTGAGTAACTTCAGCAACATTCAGCTTCTCACTTTCAAGTTTCTCTGAAGTGATAATAGAAGAAAAAACAGAAGAAAAACTACTGTCAACTCCATGAAGAACATAAAGACATACCAGGCACCCAGATGTACATTCAAGAGATAATTAGACTTCCTAGTTTTAAAATTATCTGCTTTTCCTTCCAGAGCCACTTTCCCCCACACTGTTGAACTCCTAAAGATACAGTTCACATTTTCCCTTTATTTACCCATTGCCAAGGGGAAGGACAAACATTAACGAAAGCCACACTACTGGCTCTCTTTAGGGAACACCAGGCTCAGAGGTAAGGCCCATTACTTCTATTGCTACTGGATAAAGGGTATTCTGTATGCAAGTGTACAGCAACGTTTTGTACAGCAGACCATCAAACCTAGGAAACTTTAAGAAGACCAACTTTAAGATTTGTTTCATCAGTCTCAGCCTCCTGGCTTCTCCCTCAGACTCAGGAGACTTAAAAATTTTACTTGGCCCATCTGTGATAAAAGTGAAGTGACACCATATTCATAGAGGTGGAGGATGCACCCAAGAAATGTGAACAAGTATTTCTGGAGGTATGAAAACAACTAAAACCATAGGAAATTTCTTTCTAAGAAACCACAGCCCTTTTCTGCACTCAAAATTTGCAGTAAATTTTAAAATACTTTATGAATTGGTTTGTTAATAATTAGTACAGATTGCTAGGTATATACATACATGGCTTAGTGTTTACCATTAAATAGTAAGCAAAGAAAATTTAACAATAAAAGCTCCCCGATAACACCACCAGAAACAAAATGCTTGGTCACTTGCCAATTTAATTCTATGAAAGAGTATCTTATTATGCTTGGTAAGAACTAATCTTGTTCTCGTCAAAGCCAACTAAGTATCTTCCCAAAGAGAGTGAGCCTGAGCTACCAGCCTACGAACCCTGCCTAAGAGACTGCTATCTCCATGGGCTATCTTGTGCCTCCACAGGAATCAGTCTGTGCATACTCTCACAACAAGACCAAAGTCTTTAGTTAGCATAGACCTGATCCACAAGGAGTTAAGGGTAATGGAAAAGATTCCACTGAAATCAATAAGTGCTGGATCAGTTATACGCATATTTAGAGTCAGGCTGTATCTGATACGCATTTTTTGGGTTTTGGGTGAAGTCACTGGAGGTCTGCCCATGAGAATCAAATTGCTCAGTCTGGGGCATATCCAGTCCATCACAACATATTCAATAGCTTAACCATTCATAGAAGGGAATAGTCTGTGTAGCCTTTATTAGAAGTGCTCACATGATGTTTTGAGATTCATTTAAGATACTGAAAAGAAATTTACTGGAGACTTTATGAGCTGTAATAACTAAGAAAATGGCTTCCAAGCCAACACTTAAAAAAGCACATGCCAGCTCTGCATTAGCAGTTTCTTTTCTCTATCTGTTTCTCAGCTGAAGCTCAGTTTGCAGTCCACTGGGTACCATTACCTCAGTAACGTTAAAAGCCAGACATCAAATAAGAAAGAAATTCCAACTTTCCAGAGGAACTTCGCGATGTGAATAAACTACAGTATGGAACCAGCAGAGATTAAAAACATCCACTGTTGTAGTGAAAATACCCTTGCCTTCAAACTTACTTTCCACTTGTAACACTAAGGTTAAGTTTGTACAGCACATATGCAGATAATAAATTTAACTGGAGCAAATACTGTTGCCAAGACAAGAACCCTCCCCTCCCTCTCTAGCACCCCAGGTAGGCTTTATGCTGTTCTCATCAACTACAGAGCACCACACATTGCACTGTAGCTATAAGGATTGTGCATACAGCCTACTGCTCAAGGGTCTCATAATACAATGCTATTTTTATATCACTTAGTGGCATATATGTAAGATGATACCGAGGCTCATAAGTAGGAACAAGTGATCCACTTACTGACAAAGTGCCCCAACAGCATGCACATATATTTTTTCTTACCAAATAATTTCTGCAATACTTGTCCATCATACAGGTCTTCAGCCAAGTCTTTCACAATAATCCTCTCTCCTACCAACACATCATTAATCCAGTCAATTAATACCTATATGGGAAACACAAATTTGGCAGTATTATGCACTATTCATTTGCAATTTAAAACACATGTCATTTTGTACAATGACAGAAATATTTTGCAGAAAGAATACCAAAGTTCCAATAGCTCAAAATACAAATCAGTCTGAAATGCCATCAGAAGAAAACAGGAAGGACTTTGGAAGGACTATTCTAAGGTGGCTGTGTCAATGCACCACAATGTCTAGACAAATACCGGACTGATGCAGTGCCTTTGGAAGTGAAATCTGTCCTCTGCTTTCAGTAGTGTTTTAACATTTTATTGTGAAGCAAAAGCTAATGAAGTCGACTCTAATGAAGCTTTCTGCTAAAGTTCTAACCCCAAGAATCACAAAGACTACAAGGGAAGTCAGTGTGATCTTAGATTGGGGGTGGGATGGGACTAAGAATCCGGACTCAGGATTTTAATCCAAATTCTTAAGTCTGACTGTGCCATATCTAGAGAAAGATACCACAACAAATGACCTGCCCATTTCACTGGGATGTACACACCATGTGGTTTCGTTTAATTAATATCTAAACAGTGCTTTGAAGCGTTCAAATGAAAGAGGCAGGGATAGCATTAAAAAATAGTTCCGCTTTCCTGAAAGTGTTTACATGCTCTTCATTACCTTCATTAGTTCTTGTAATTTTGGGTCATTTCTTGAATTTGGATCAACCATTGTTCGGACTTCATTTTCCTCTAGAAGGTTTAAAAAAAAGATATTAGAAACTACCACAGGCATGACACTTTATTTTACATCAAGCTTTTATGTTGAGATGTAAAATTGTTGTGAATTACCTAGCATAGTGTCCTCAGGGTCTAGTTCAAATGGAATTGGACTGAGAGGTAAGTTAATGGCATTTATTCCTTCTTCCTGTAATTCAGATACTAGGAAATAAAAAAAAAGAAGAGCTTGGTCAAATTTCAATTCGATTTTACTTACTATTTCACTCTTGCTAAAAGTAGCATTAATTGTCTTAATTTCTTTATAAGAACATGATCCTATTAGATAAGCCACTAGGTGTAATTACAGCAATAAAATATAGCTAACAAAAGTAGGAGGCCCAGCCAACAAACCTTTACTTGTACAAGTAGATTTTTCATGGACAACGATACTGGAATCATTGCAATTTCCTCAAATCTTTTCCAGGATAAGTCCCATTGTCCTCAAATTTTAAAAGGCTCACTTGCATTTTAATGATCCTGACATTTTAACACTAACGAATCACTTTAGCTGAGGGAAATGATTATTGCTTTCAGCTATGTCACCCTTGCTCTGGAGATGCTTCAAGTTTAGCCACTTGAGAAGAGCTGGTTCTGGCTACATATCCACACAGGAGCTGCCAGACTGATAAACTACTTAGGACTGAAGGTAGGGTCACAGCACATGGCTCCCTCCGTTGTTCAGGTCAGAGACCAGCTGGAGCAGACTGTGTGATGCTTCTGGCCTGTGTTCTTGGCCTTTCTTTAGCAGAAATCATGGCAGCAGGACACAGGTGTAAGATGATGAACCCTCAAAAGTACTGCCCTTAGTGCGGAGTCCAGACAGGTTGAGAAAGGACTTGGGACATGGGAATGGGAAAGCAATCCCAAATCCCATAGTCTGGAGATGCCCGCAGGGCATATGGACAGTTGGACAGTCAGGCAATATGGACAAGTTCTTACTCAGCCAAAGTCCCCTAATGCTGCAAAAATCAATGTTCTTGTAATACATGCTCTGAGAACATAAGAACAGAGAGATCCAGAGAAGCAGTGTAAAAGCAGTCCTGCCACTAGTTCTGTACTGTACAGGTTCTGCACCTGGTATAGATCAGAGCAACTTTTTTCATGCCTCTGGGTGATCCAAACCTTAATAGGTTACAAAGACAAAACCCTTCCTTCACTGCCCAAACATGCCTCTATAAAAGAAGAGAATAAATGCAAACAAGCCAATACAGTAATCCTATCGCTATGGAAGAACACATAGCGCTGTGCAGGGAGGGCACCTACTTTGGCGATCAGACAAGTTTGCATCTTGTTTTGTAACCAAGAAATCAGTGCAAACCTGATTTACCAAACCAGGAAAGAGGCTCACTGCCTCTTGATGACAAGTATTGTTTTGACCATTCGTTTTCCAGTGTACAGACCTTCAGTAGAACTGGTTGTTAGCACAACTGTTCCAGTCAAGAGTTTAAACTTAAATAACTTAATCCAACCATCCTACATGGGTCCTAAAGATTCAAGCAGCTGTATACACCTTCTGACGTAAACTAAAATATATGATTTATGTGCGAATGCAGATTCGCCATCTAACATTTCAGTTTTACTACCTGAAGCTTTCCTCAGTTTATTTTGGAAATTACAGAAACAATATAGGTTCGGAGAAAACAGAAAAGTAGAAAGTGACAGTAGAGAGCTTGCGTTTTGTTCCTGGCCCCGTGACTGCCTTGTAAGTTAGCTTTTGGAAAATGGTTTTACCTCTCCACCTTAACTTCCTGTGTGCAAGAAGTACAGCTGAGTTTCACATGACCACTGTGATAATTAGTCAGTTGGTGTGATAACAGCACTTAAAACTTTCCAAGTATTTTCTGCACTTTGTGAAATGTTTTGTGCTCTGCCAGATAAAATGCCTGTGCACATTTCAAGAATCTGTGTAGCTGTATTCAGGCATCTATGTAAGATTCATAGCAATAATGGCCATTAGAATGCTTATAGCTTTTAATTGTACAAAAAAAAACTTTGAAAAATCCACTACCTTCAATACTGAAACACTAACTTCATTCACTCCATACACTCGCCCTGCTTGTGTATCTGTAGAATACAAATACTAAGCAGCTCTAAAGAGTCATAAAATAATGTTGACAATAATAGTTCCCTGGATTGTTGTATATCCTCTAAAACTGATGGCTGAGAGCAATGGACCAAATTAATCCCTCATGTAACTCCATTGAGTTCTGAGGAGTTATAGCAAGGATGAATTTGGTCTAGCATGTACAATCTCAGGAACTGTTTACACTTAATGGCAATTTTTTGAACTGCTAGCACTCCTTAGAGAAAATCACTGTTGGTTTTATTACCTATTTGATTCCCCCCCAACCCCTTTTTGGTTCAAAATGGTTATGGGCATAAAACCATCAGTGGATAGAAAACTTTCATGTGGAGGTCTTTCTGTTCTGAAATGTTTAGTTCATGGAGGACTTCGGCACAGAGGTTCCTAGGCAGAAAACATTTTTTTCACATCAATCCCAAGAGGGAGCATAGAAAATAAAATCTGTTCAAGCCAACTGGCTCCAGTGAGCTCTCCTATCCTGAAGTGCTGGATGCTCTGCTTGGGCAAGACACACCGGAGGAAGGAGTCAGCTCGTCTTCCTAGTGAAGGACAGTGGGGAAAGCTTTTGGCTCCTCTATCCAGGGAGCGACACTGGCAGAGCTTGCTGACACTTCTCCAGGGAGACTGAGCAGACCTTTCAAGGCTGAATGTTTTGTAAGGCCTTCTTTACGAGGCCCACTGAACCTTCCCATTTTTGTCCTCCAATGCGTACAACTATTACATTCTACTTTTAATAACATGACCTTCATCATAGTATCAGAGTTTATGAAAATAAGAGAAAGCAAACAAAAACCCCGCTATATCTTTGCATGGAAAGGGAACATAAAATACAAATAAAATAATAATAAATTTAGTGAGAAACTAATACCTTGATCTGTTCTAGAATGCATTGCAAGTGTTGTATGTGTTGTACAGCAGGGGCTAAGTCCTGCTTTGCTTTACACAGGTATACAGAAGTGGTGGTCTTGTTCCCCCAAGAAGCTCACCCAAATCGCATACATTTCTCACACCTGCCCAAGCCATATGCAGAACCTACCCAACACACCTCCAGATGATCCAAAGATCCCAGACAGATTCAGTTTGCCAGAGAGGACAACTACTCCTCAGCCACTGCATTCTGCAGTGCACAACCCATGCCCGAGGTTGGTATTAGTCCCGTAATAGAGACTCCTCCTGCCCTCCTGTCCCCTACAAGCAGAAAACATGATAGAGAAACCCTGAGCCTGATAACATCTTTTTCATTTCTTTCCCAATACTGACGAGAAAAGATTTAACTACAGATTAATACTACTACTAAAAGGAGCAGGTAAGAACACATGCATTATATGAGGATTTACATAAAGGGAGAGAAAATGTATTATGTAGTATAGCCTCACTTTCTAAGAATTTCTATCAAAAAAGTTGCATGACAAACTGCTATTATACACTTAGGTGATTGTAGAGGACCCACAAAAATGTGATTGAGGTTAAGAGTTTGCATACCACAGTTTCAGCAGAGGAATCCATTTCTCAGCTGCTTTTCATTAATTTGTTTTAATTAATTTTCATGAAAAGCCCTTCAGCAATTTAGTATTTTAATAAAAACAAAGCACACAAGCTTGGGACAATTTTTGCAGCAGCTGAAATTAAAATAAAATCATCTAATATCTTGAAACACTTTGAGGAATCACTTGGAGCATCAATAAGACCTCCACTCTTGAGTCTTGCAGTGTAAAAACCCAGGAAGGGAGGAGAGGACATAGCTGCAGCAGTCCGCCTATACCACACCAGTTGCCAGGAGCCAGACCAGTGCACTGGGACCTGCGGCAGTTGCTCTGAAGGGCCGTATCCACAGTTGTCTGCTTGACATGAGGTGTGCTTGGCCACTGGACGACCCCAGTAATTAGAGTTAAGAGCACCTTTCTGTTCTCACCCTGCTGTGGCCCAGATACAGCCCAGTGCATCAGCTACCATGGGGCTTGTTCTCGTCATGCTTACATTGGCATGATTAGGGACTCTATCCTTTTGAATGTGAGAGGAAAGTCTAGTCCTTCATGGTTTTTTCACAGTCACCATGCTGAGTGGAACTGGGGGTCAAATGCACTTTTAAAGCAAGACCCTTGAAAGCAAGAGTTACATGTGGCCCAGACAAATCTCTGTGGATTGGCAATGCAAAAGTCCCAGTTTTAACTCTGCATAAGGAATGGACACTTCTGCTCAGACTTCTGATTCAGCTCCACATGCCAAATTTGTTATGATGTAATCAAGTGCAACTCCACTGCTATCAGCTGTCAACAGACTTCCTCCTATCATGCCAGCACCAGATTTGGCCCCAGAACTGGGGAGCCCACAAGCTTGTATCAACAGCAACTACAGCAGCTATTTTAAGCTGGATAGAGTTCTTACTGTTTTAGATGCTCTGGGATTACAAGGTCATAAACCTATGCTATCAAATCCACACGGGTGCTCTGAGCCAGACTTTGCCCTTTGATGCGAGCATCCAACTGCCATTGAAACCGTTGGACGCCGAGCACATCTGAAAGTGGAGTACTGCCCATACGGTTTAAATTGGCTTAATTCCTCTAGTACATGTAGCCTATTGCTCCACATTGTATTTATTAGACAGTTTCATTTGGGTTTTTTACTTGTTTATTTTGTGTGCTGAAGGCTTTTTGCTGCCCTGTTTAGTATTCAGGGCTTAATGTTATTCTGATTTGAATAAAACACATCTTATTATTTAACTGAGCTTAGAAATGCCACATCACCCAACGCACTCTCTGTGGTTTAGACATATTTTAGCATATCTATCCAAAGAATCATAAAATAAATACAGCAAGATGTAGTGTTAAATGGTCTCTCCTCTGAGTGCTACAGCCATGTCTTTCCATATAATTCATTCCATACTTACAAAACTAAAATTACTCAAGTGCTACAACGCTAGCGGATTGATTCTGGAAGTTTGTGATTAACTAGAACCGAACCCTAATGCTGGAGGAGTAGAGTGACACAATGCTTCTAACCTCAATCTTTCAAAATCAGGAGATTTAAATCTATGCATATACACCTACATAAATACATACATACACACTTCGGCAGTTTG